AAAACTTCTTGAGCATTTTTATTTAGAGATAATTGTGCGTCCAACTTGGGTATTTCTTGGGGGAGGGAAGAGAAGATAAAGGAACATAATTGGAAAGAAAACACAACAGCATTATGTGGCAAAATGGACTGAGGTATTAAGTTGAAGATCAAGTGGAATTTCTGTTGATAAGGTAATTAAGTTGTATCATGGGTTCTATTTTCTCTTTCCATGAATCTTGTCTCATAAGAAATGAATCATTAAATGAAGCAATCTTTGCTTTCTTAAGTTCTAACTCCACATTTGGAAACTAACTCTTGAGTTTATAGAAAATAATTTCCTCTTCAAACTACTGGCAACAGTTGAAGACATTTTGGTCATAAAGGGAAAATTAAATTATTAATAATGGATTCTCTGTCTCCTACTGAGAAATCTCGACATAGCAAGGCTACCAAATGGTTGGCTAGCAGTGTCACATGTGCCCAGACAACATTATCAACGCATTCATTTCTTTTGAAATGGGCCCAAGGGGCCCTAGCACAAGTAAATTAAGGTGAAGAGTAAAACAAAACCAGGTCCAATAACAAAGCAGGAGGACAAGGCAACAGACAGTGGACGGAAACTGTATTCTATGACCATAGCAGTAAAATCTCTAAACAAGCAGACACACTGGGAGAAATTATTCGGGGTCACTGGGAGCAAGGAAATGGAACAGATGGAAACAGACTGGAATGTCTGTTCTATTTAAATGTTTATTTTTTTCCTAAGTTCGATGTATTACACAGAGTAACACGCTGATTCTCAGGAACCAAGTCTCAGCCACTGAACTGACTAACAGACTTGGCATCCATAAGAATCTATTAAATAAATATGTTTAGCATTGATTGAGAGCCCAGTTACTCAGAAAAATTGGGTCATTTTCTCCAAAGCCTGGCCAGTCTCTGCATTACTGGTACAAGAAAAATGGATTTCATGGTGCTAGACAAGGCTGCCACTTGGCTGCATTGATCTCTAAAGCTTCACCAACTTTTGTGAAGCAAAACATGCCTTTTGATGGATGTGAATGGTCCTTCTGTGGTCAGCTGTGGAACTTACTAGGTCTTTTTCAGCTTTCTTCAGTTTTCACTTTAAATAGCAAAAAGTACCATGTTAACCTAGAGTAACAGCAGCTACTCACCCCCACTCCCAGGAAAGCCAAAAATAAGCCTGCACACTTCTTATTTCTGACAGAAAGGACAATTATAGAAATCTGCCTAACCGCACTTAATAAAGTAGGCTAAACTTATGCCATTAAAAATCTTGTGAGAATTTCATTAGAATCATAGAAAAGCTCATCACAAACACACACACACACACACACATGAAAATGACAATACTTTCCTCTTCCACATATTTTACTACCTTCGGGAATAACAGATGGACTAATACAGGAGGCATATGTAAAATATTTATGAAAGGCAAAGTAATTGTGATGGTAAACTCATAAAACAGTAATTTCCTCTGCTATATTCAGCAGCATGTACAAAAATGAGAATATCTTTTACATAATAAAAAATGCACTGACAAAAGCTACAGATGAAACAGTAAAAGAAAAGCAGAAAAATACAAGTTACAATCCCCTTTGATACACTAAAAAGTGTTTAGGAAAGAAAGAAAACTGCAGTGTCTTGTGGGTTTTTTTGCTGTTGTTATTCCTTGCAAGAAGACCCTGAATTTGCACTATCTTCCTCTCAAATAGTTTAGACATTCTAACATAGGGTGTTCCCTTTAAAGTCCCTATGAAGCAGGTAGATCATTTCAGGTTACTCTGTAACATTCCATGATGACATTCACATGGTGTTTGGCAGAAGATTAAGTGACACTAATAGTTTGAGAATTTTCCATGTGCCTACCTTTGCGGCCCATGTACTTCTTACCTACATGGTCAAAATATACCCGATTTTTAAGAACTTAGAATGCAGTGAACAAGCAGATCGTTAAGTGTACTCTTAAGATAGCATTCATCAAATTCCACAACAGCATGGGGAACACTGGAGTAGGTTTCTGATGCCATCTTTAGAAATGCAGGTAGAAGGGATTAGACAGGTTCAAGGAAGACAGCAAGGAGCTAACACACTAATCCCTGGTTATGCTAGACGTACCCCCATGACACATCATTCCTTTTCAATCTCTGAAAATGAAAAGCCTGCACAGAAATAATAAAACTTGATCCTGGAAAAGATGAAGAGCTTAGTCAAAATGTCAAAGGCAGTACTGCTATGGGATGCTCACAGCCCAGCCAGTTCTCTGCAAGCACAGTCGAGGCCACCATGCGACTTGAGAAGGAGGAAGGCCAACTCACTCCAAAACAAGGCCACTCACAAGCCTCACATTTGCTGTCATTTCTTCAGGATAATAAATTATTTCCCTGTTGAAATTTCCACTGGCTCCACCATTTTTTGAAAGGCAACCATTCATACAATCATTCGAAAAAGTATTTATACAGTGTCTGATACACGACCAGCAAGATGAATAAAATAATGAAAAAGACAAGCAGAGCCCCAGCATACTTTCTAGTCAAGAGTATAAGACTTAAGATGCTAAGGGGGAAAAAAGGCAAGGGGAAAATTCAGTTTTAAGACTGGGTAACGTGACAGAGAGTAACTGGTTAGTTACTTTAGACTAGATAGCTGGATGATAGCCTTTTCCAGAGGATGACATGTCACATGTGGATGACGAGAAGGAGCCAGATGTGTGATTAAGAGAAGGAATAATATTCCTGATAGAAGGCCAGAAACTGAGAAACAGATATTCTGTATTAGAGAACAAAATCAAAAGGGGATGGGAGTCGGGGGAGGAGAGAATTAGATGAACTCAGAAAGCTAAGCAGGGTCTAAATCATGCTGAGATTTATAAACCAGAGTCAGGAGGACACAGAGAGGCCACTGGAGGTGCGTACGTGGGTGACTTACATCTGCAAATACGCTGGCTGCTGCAGAGAAAAGGCACTGCAGGGAAGCAAGGATGGACACAGATAGCCCAGTGGTGCGGCTGTTACAGCAGCCGAGACAGAGAATGCTGGCCTGGCCCAGGGCACTGGATTCAAACAGACAAGCAGCCGGAGGTGGAGACAGAGTTGACTGCACCTGATGATAGGTTTGACACAGGAGGAGAGAGAAAACAGGAAGGATGTGTAAATGGGAGACTTCTGGTTTGGATAACTGGCCAGATGGTGAGACTGTTCACTGAGAAAAGGAAGGCTAAACAGGGACAGGTCAAGAAATCAAAAGTATGTGTTGGCACTGGATTCTGAAATGTCTGTTAAACGGCCACATGGAGATGCCAGGTAGACAGGTGAACACGAGGAAGCTGTAGAGAAACATGCGGAGTGGCCAGGAGCACTCCCCTGGGTTTCCTGTGAACTGTGGCTTGAACTTCATTTCACCTTGTTCTTTCTCTTGCCTTATCTAGCTTTGATGAAGCAAGAATCAGATAAAGTATATGAAGAAGCTTTGCAAAGAATAAATTAATGCCCTCACATTTATAATTATTATCATGCATCACCTTCCATCAAATATTTATCTGGTACACACTGTGTCTTTACCATGGAAGTTTCAGGAAATGTAGATTATGCCATCCCTGTCCTCCAGGATATTGTAGCTTCTTGTGGGCTCACATGGTAAAGAAAAGTGAGCCTCATTCTAAAAAGGGGACAATCTCCAAAAGAGTTAGCACGTCACATGACTCCTCTGTAACCTTAGGCAGCCACACAGACTTGACTTTCTTATTCTCTCACACACCAAGACAAATAGCACAGAATTGAGAGGCCGGAGTTTCCCTAGCAGGGTGTCTGCTGACAGACTTCTAGTGCCCCAGCTATGGTGAATGTTCCCACACTGGGTGCCACATAGTAGCAAATTTCACAATTAGCTTCTCCTTCAGGTTTAAAGACATTCCTATGAAAACTGCAGTTTCATGCGGCAAGAATATTTCCACTGCAATAGTGAACATGAACACTTTAGCATGAAGTTAGTTTATTTGATTATTAACTGAGAGAGCTGTCTTTAAAGAAGGAGACAGCTGACTGGGCAACTTGACCTGGGCTGTGGTCAGGTAGCCAAGGAGATCAGCTCCTCTAGTGCAGAGCACACCAGATGGACAGACCAAGGACAGGACGTCAGCAGTTCCAAAAGGGAATGTGAGGCCATTGCTAACTGATTCTCTTGGCCATGTTGTTTCATCCCATGGAGGATGGGGATACTTGCTTTTGTTCTCATTCGGTAAGAGGAAAAAGTTTTCAGGGAGACATAAATATAACTTAGCTGTCTTTATATTTCTCACACACAAAAAAAAATGTTCAAAACAAGTTCAGTTAAGAATTTCATCTAGGAAAATAATGACCCATAAAAAGAATGAATATTTGTATCCATATTATACTCACACCCTGACACAGTCATCACTGTTGTCACTAATAGAAGCATCATCCCTTTGAAATGCCTTTCTTTCTGCAAACTATTATGAAATTGAAGTTCTTACAACTCAGCTCTCACTAGAATTTTCACTGAGGTTATCCACTTGAAGAATGAAAACACGTGAAACCATTCTCCAAGGCAGTGGGTTCACAGATGACTCTTGGGTCCACAGAGTCATCCTGTCCATAGAGAACAAAATTAAGGTATTGAAAATAATAACACTCTAAGTAAATTGCCATGAGTCTTCAATTTTATGCACCATATTTTAACCAGTTTGGAGATTACCAAAGTTAATTTTAAACCCACAAGTGACTTCTTTCAACAGTGATTATGCTTATCAACTCTCTCCAAGAGGTATGACATTAGTGGAGGTAAGATCCAGCATACACACTAATTTTGTGCAGAGCATGTTTTGAAACTTGACCTGCTGCAGCATTAAATCACCTAGCATTTTCTAAAGCCAAGTTAAAATGAGTTTTCCACTGAATTTTAACTAGTATCTAGGATTATCCATGCCAGTAGCTCTATGGCCCCCTTGACTAATGCAGCATTTTCTGTCCTGTTTTCCAGCCTCTGCCAGCACATACATGCCGACAGTGTGCAACGGCCGGGAAGTCCTCGACTCCACCACCTCATCTCTGTGATTGTGAATTGCAGTTCAGTTGTCGTGTTTTTAGGATATTAGATGAAAGTGCTCATGTGCAGCTCCAGAATGTGGAAACAGCAAACGAATACCCCTAGTACCTTTTTTTAGAAACAGTACAATAAATTATTTTTAAGGACTGTACAGTATATAGTGATGTGCTAGAACTTTTTAGACTGATTTTAGTGATTATTAATGATTCCTTAGAACCTGGAAATAACCCATTGTTTACAGAGCTGAGCACTGGTGACAGGGTCTGACAGGGTCAGTCTATTAGAAAATATGGTGGCAATATTAGATAACTTTTTTTCCTATGAAGTTTTTTGTAGGCCCTTGTTGTAACTAACTTAGGATGAGTTTCTATGTTGTATATTAAAGTTACATTATGTGTAACAGATTGTTTTTCTCAGCACAAAATCAAAAGCATCTGTATTAATGTAAAGATACTGAGAATAAAACCTTCAAGGTTTTCCAGCATGATGGATAATGGCCTTGTTCTTAATTAACCACTCCAGGTAATTTGAATATGTTGATTTAGGCCATTTCTATTTTATTGTTGGAGGAAATTATCTAACTATGCTTCTCTTTACATCTGTTACTAGATACACTGAACACAAGTTTTACCCTGTAAGAGAATTGTAAGCATGTCTAGACTTCTTTGCAGATCTTTGCAGATCACATGATCAGAATTTGACTGATGACACCATAAATATCAGGTTATTACTGTGGCCAGACAATAATACCCTTATTGGTTTCTTTAAGCCATATCTGCAAGGCAGCCCTGAATTTGCCCAAATAGGTCTCTGAGGTGAGGAGAGAGTTCTTCCATTCCTATATTCCTCTGAATACCAAAACTGACCTGTCAGGGAAGGTTTGATGGCTCTCATTTCCCAAAACCACCTAAATTTCTAGCAAGGAGCCTGGAAAAGCATCTTGTTATTCCATTGGACAATCACGCTGGTGGTTCACAGCTGAATGAGGCAATGAAAATGCAGGATATCTTCTTTTCCAAAGTCCCAAGAACAATGTTTAGGAGCACATAGACTTGTCACGAAACTTGAATATTTTACTAACCTAAATAAAGGAGCACACAGGAAAAGCACGGATAAGCTAAAATGGGGTCATTCTTATCAGTACTGTCCTATTTCTCCTGATAAGTCCTTGCGTCACAAAACATTTATTAATGGAGAGAAATCACTGAGAATCTAACTATCTGCTAGGTCCTGCACCAGATACCACGGACAGAGCGTGTATTTTTTTCCTGTAACTAATCTGATGACTTAACATGAACTCAGTGACTTAAGACAACAAAAATGACTCTGTGCAGCTGCACCTTCTTAGCACCGTCTTCATGTCACATTCTCCTCTGTGTGTCTCTTATGAGGACACTTGTCATTGGATTTAGGGCACACCTGGATAATGCAGGATGATCTTATCTCAAGATCCTTAATTGCATCTGCTAAGGCCCTTTTTTGAAATGAAATAACATTAGGATGTGTAACTTCTAGGGGGCCATGCTTCAACTCATGACAGGGAAGAAGAGGATTAACATGTACTTGCCTTTAAGAAGCATCAAGACTGGAAAATATGCTAATAAGGAGACTGCCACCGAGGGAGACAGTGAGAAGAAGGAAGAGGAGGCTATGAGGGACCCACAGGCTGAATAACCAGGGCCTGGATAATCAAGACTGATAGTATTTTTAAAATATCCAGAAATAACGAGTAGGTCCATAAAAGCCAGTATGACTGGCCTGAAGGAAATAAACTGAGGAGTCCTATGTTAGCAATTCTCTACTTCCTTCTAGATGCCTTTGAATCAGCACCCTCATCAATGTGCCCAAAACTCAGCAGATGCTCAAAGACAACAGTGCAAACAGTCTCTAGATTCTCAGCTTCAAAGAACATGGATGGGAGGGGGTGGGTGTGGCAGATTGGGTAACAGTAGTTGTCAAAAAAGACAATAGATGTCAAAAAAGAACTCTGTTGTGACTGAAACTGGCAGGAGTGCTAGAGAGATGTGCTCAGAGTGAGTACCTGCTCAAAATCAAGGCCGAGGCAAGGCCGATGGCAGAGAAAATAAACTCAGTCTGCTGATGGGATTTGACAGGCCAAGGAAGGCAATATCAGGTGGGTTGTTCAGAGACACTGCTGATGCCCAAAGCAATCAAACTGATTGTGGATCTTCTTAAACAAGACAGTTAGGTTGTGGGTGAATCCCGAGTGGGTGTTTCTGAGGACCGGGTTTTGATCTGTGGTCACTGTATTTCACTCCCTGTCTTTACACTGAAAGTGCATTCACTGACCACTCTCATCATCTTTTTCTTCCCTGCCATGAACCGTGTTTCCTACTCAAATGCACACACCCTAACATGTGATCCCTAGAAGTAATTTTTTAAAGAGCATTCAGCATATGTGTGGAAAATAGCAACTATAAAATCTTTTTTACATGAGCCATTTCAAACCAATAGGTGTGGGGTTGATTTTTCTTTAACTCCAGTAACAACATTTCATTCTCTCAGAATATAAAGCTTGCTGAGCTGATCCATCTTTGCAAAAATGTCCTGAATGCAAGGAACTCAAGCTGAATGATGTATCTAACTCATAAAAAAACATGCCAGAGCCTCATGATATGGTTGATTTTTGTTGGATTCCTGAGTGTTCACAGCTTTTGAAATTCTCTGTGTCCTCTTCTAGTTTAAATACTAATATTCACTTGCCCACTCAGGTTTCTCACAGTAGCATAAAAAGGTCCCATTTTCAAACTGTGAAGCAAGCTGGTTTGAAGACCAGATAGAGGACAAATTAAGAGAGTGGCTGAGAAAGGAGGTAATTGACCCAGTGTACCTTTGCAGACTTCAACCCCGCAGTTCCTCTCAACTAGCCCCCTGCTTTATCCATGTATCCACCATGAGAGTTTGGGGTGTCAGAACTCTATAGCAAAAGGCCACAGAGAAGCAAAAATAAAGTGAGGTGCCAGGAAGATGGAACATCAGTATGGATTAAAACCTCCACAACCCTAATAAGGCCCAAACCCATGAATAACGCAATTATCACTCCTGCTCTGTGAAAGAAAGTTTAGATTTGCATAATCCCCACTGGTTGGATTTATTAATTTAACCAAAGCCATGGTAATTTGAAATCTGTTGATGGCTTGGATGGAAACCCTTAGATGGCTAGCTAAGATAAAAGGAATATTACTCCCTTCAAAACCAAATTTACCAATATCCACAAGCTGTTTTATACAGTATTCTTCATCCAGGAGTCTTTAATAAGATTAGGAAAATTCCAGCAAATAAAAAGCCTAACTGGGATGTCTTGCTCAAGGCAAATGGAGGTCTGTTTCTTGAACCACCAATCATTAAAATAATCCTAAGTGTCCTTTGCAGTTCAGTCAGTCTTAAAATAGGATTTGGTAAATATGTGTGGACTGAGGTGCACATGGCCTGAATACATGCAATGGATGCTCCAGTGCTGCCAGGGAACCCTATCTAGCACCAGAGCTCAAGAATCTAGGCTGACACTACTTTTATGCATCAATATATGTTACTTCCAAATAGTTAATTGAAAGAAATCTGTCAAAGAGATTGAATATTATCTCCAAATCTAGTTACCTTAGCAACAAATGTTATAGAAATCACAATGAGAAAAGACTTTTAAATCAATCTTACTGGTTGACTTTAAACCAATTCACTTGTTTTATTTTATCATTTCCTAATCAATATCCACAATCAAGTCCTAGAACTATAAAAGGAACTCAGAAGAGTATCTGGCTTTGTCTTTGGTGAGTGATTAAGTCACCAAGGGAAAGTAATGGGCTATTTTTTTCTTGATCCTCTCTAGAGACTTGAGAAACCTTGAAGGTGTAAACTCCTAAAGGGCAAAGAATCTGTGCAAAAAGATTATTCCAAATAGTTTTGCTTGTGGGTTGTAGTGATGGAAAACAGTGGTCAGCAAGCCACAGCCCACAGGTCAAATCCTAGCCTAGCATCTGTTTTTATAAAATCTGTGAGCTAAGAATGCTTCTACATTTTTAAATAGTTGGAGGTAAAATACCAAAAGTAATATTTCATGACAAATAAAATTGAACTCAAATTTCCATGTACATCAAGTTTTATCAGAATGTAGCCATACCCATTTGCGTATAGACTATCTGTGGCTGCTTTCATGTTACAATGGCAGAGCTGAAACAGAGACCACACGACCTGAAAAGCTGAAAATACTACCTGACCCTTTACAGAAAAAGACTGCTGACTTCTAATCTAGACAATTGCAATAGTAATATCCATTAATAGCAATTGTAATAGTTGTATCAATTAATTTTCAATTATTTGTCCCCATCTTTTACTTCATTTATGATTCTAAAATGAACCCATCAATCAGCCCAGCTAGCTCAGTTGGTAGAGCATGAGACTCTTAAAATGAACTCATCTAAAAACATTAAACCGAAATAAAATTCAGCAAAAGTGTAATCTCTGGCCATTTACTGTGAAGGTGAACTCCATTTTAGTGTCCAAAGAATAAGTCAAGTGTTGGTATTTTTTTAGGTTTATCCTCCTTGAGTCCTTTTTTAAGAGCAATCTTTATTTAGAACTTGGTCATGTAAATCTTAGATAATGTTCATGGTCACTAGGAAATAGATGTGAGGATATGTAAATCCTCTGAAGAAGTTCTACTCTACCTATCTTTAGTATAAAAAGGTAAATGTGAGCAATACACTGCCAATAAAATCAACTTCCCACCCCAGCTCTCAGGAAATTTGCATTCATGAGGAAGAGAGAAATGATCTGCATATTAGCCTCCCATCAGGAATGACCATGAGTCACAAGAAGTAGCTCTACTGACAGATGTCAGATGACAGTTCACCAGATTTGTCTTGAACTACCCCAGAGGGTAAATGACTAGACACAGGTAATCCTTCCACATAACCATTTAAGTCACCTTTTCTCTCCTTGGGAAGAAAATAATGACAAAAATCTACACAAAAATACTATGAAACATTTT